TTCGCCGACCATTTGAGGGTCTCCAAGGCATGTCAAATCGTTGCCCCTCCCAACCTTTCCCTGGAAGCCCGGCCTGGCAGATGCGGAGGGCGGGGGGGTCTCGCCAGACTCCGTCAGACTCCCTTGGAGGGGCCTGGTCCAGAAGCTGCTCCAGAAGCGCTCCTTGGCCTCCTCTTGGGTCCGACTCGAATCTAGCTCGCGCGCTGCAGCTTCCGAATGAGATTCCAAACTGCCCAAAAAGCCCCCAAGGGGTCGGCGGTGCGGCGTCAGAGAATCCACGTCTGGACGTGACGTGTTGCTGGAGGCAGGTCGCGGAGCGGAAGCCCTAATACAACGCATCCCGTACATCCACTTCTTGCATATTTGCAACATGTTTTGCGATATTCCATTCTTATGCATCCCCCCCTGATACCCCATGGAGTCGCGCCACATCGGCGGAACGAACTGCTCCCACCCACCACCCGCTCCTTCTGGGGAGCAAAAACGTAGCAAAACCCAGGGACAAAATACGGTACAGTGGAAGCCAGTCCACAAGAAACCTTCCCCTAACAACCCAACCCTGAGACCCTAAGACGTCCATCGATTCTTGGTGTGGGAGCGTAACGCCTTCCATTACGTAAACCAGCGAAACTCCAGAAGCCCAAGGCACCCTGGAAGCAAGCAGGGTGTTTCTAGGCATGGGCCCACACTATATCCCCTTTCTGGGGCCTCTTCGGGATCCCAAAAAATCTTCCAGACGGCCCAAGACGGCCCCGAGACAGCCAAGGCGGCCCCAAGAGGCCCCCAAGATGGCCCCAGAGGGCCCCAAGGGGACTCCCAAGAGTACCCCCCAGAAAGCAAACACATTGATTTTCCCAATGGTATCAAATATCGTCGCGTTCTCACCTTTTTGTTTCAGCTCTCGGGGGCCCATGACGGCCCAAGCAGCCCAAGAGGCCCCCAAGACGGCCCAAGAGGCCCGCAAGACGTCCCAAGAGGACCCCAGGAGAGTCCCAAGGTGGCCCCGAGAGGTCCCCAAGACGTCTTTGAAAGGTCCAGACGGCGCAAGAGCGCCGCAAGATGGCCCAAGAGGCCCCCATGATGCTGTGGACGTGCACCCCGCGAGGCGAGAGAAATCCACGTCTGGACGCGACGTGTTGCCGGAGGCAGGTCGTGGAGCGGAGCGCAAGCCATAATGCAACGTACTTGGTACATCCACTTCTTGCATAGTCGCTACATGTTCGATTGGTGATCTTCCATTATTATGTACCCCCCTAACCCACCCGGGAGTCGCGCCTCGTCGGCGGACCAAAATCCCCCCCCCCTTCTGGGGTCCAAGAACGTGCCGAAACGTATGTAACATACATGATATCCGCCTCTGGGGCTTCTTGGGGCCCACAAGGGCCTCCAGACAGCTCAGCATGGTCACCGGGCGGCCCCAAGAAACCACCAAGAGGCCCGCGGAATTGTACACGAATGGCGCGTTGTTGCAACGAACATCCGAGTTTGGGCTTGGCGTTGCCGTGTGCTGCCACGCAGCAATGCTCATTGCCCTCGCGGACATTCGCACGCTCGTCCCAACGCTGAAATGGGGGGGTGGGAGGAGGAGGAGGAGGGAGGAGGAGGAGGAGGAGGAGGAGGAGGAGGAGGAGGAGGAGGAGGAGGAGGAGGAGGAGGAGGAGGGAGGAGGAGGAAGAGGAGGAGGAGGACCCGCTCGCCACCTCTCCAGAGAGAGAGGCGAGAGGGCAAAGCGGCGGCGCGAGGAGGGGGCGCATCCGCCCCTCGTGTCGCTGGCAGCGCCCCAGGGCGGGCATGACGACACGGCAGAACAGCGCGGCAGACGAGCAGGGCAAACCACCCAAAGATCAGTGTTTACGTGCTCTGGGCTTGCACCCCGCGAAGCTAGAGGAATCCACGTCCAGAAGTGACGCGCTGAGCGGCCGCGTCTTCTGCGGAGGCGATAATGCAACGCATTTGATGTATTCCATAGTTGTATAAGTGCGACATGTTGTATGACCTTCCATCATTATGTATCCCCCCTAGACCACCCTTCTGCAGTCGCGCCTCATCGGCGGACCAAAATGTCCTCCCCTTTGTGGGGTCCAAGAACATACCAAAACGCATGGAACATGTATGATATCGGCCTCTGGAGCCGTTTGGGGGCCCAGAAGGGCGTTCAGACGGCTCAACATGGCTTCCATACGGCCCAAGACGGCCCCGAGACGGCCCAAGGTGGCCCAACAGGGCCCAAGAAGCCCCCAAGACTGCCCCAGAAGGCCCCAAGGCCTGCCCCCCCCCCCAAAAAAACGCTTTCAGAGGCCAAAACATTGAGCTTTTCTCTGGTTTCAGACAATTCTCGCGTTCTCGTTTCTTCAACTCTCGGGGGCCCATGACGGCCCAGGCAACCTCCAAGATGGCCCCTGAGGCCCCCAAGAGGGCCCCAAGATGGCCCAAGAGGGCCCCAAGATGGCCCAAAGAGGCCCCCAAGACGGCACAAGAGGCCCCCGAGAGAGCCCCAAGGCAGCTCCGAGAGGCCCCCAAGACGGCCCTCGAAGCAGCCCGACGGCGCAGGATCGCCCCAAGACGCCGAAGAGGCACCCAGGGGCCCCCAAGGGACCTCCTAGAACCCTCCAAGAGGCCACAAACGGCCCCAAGAAACCACCAAGAGGCTCGCGAAACTGTATACGAATGGCGCGGTGTTGCTACTCTCATCGGAGATTGAGCTTGGCGTTTCCTTGTGCTGACACGCGGCAAGTGCTCATTGCCCTCGTGGAGATTCGCACGCTCGCCCCAGCGCTGAAACAGGGGGGGGCATCTGCCACCCGTGGCACTGGCAGAACAGCGCGGCACACGAGCAAGGCAAACCACCCAACGCCCAGTCTGAACGTGCTCTGGACGTACACCCCGCGAAGCGAGAGGAATCCACTGCCAGACTGCAGCGAAGCGTTTCGGCAGTCCGACAGGACGGGTGTGTGACGCAAGGGCGAAGCCAGGATGATTCAAAGAAACCCACGTGCAATACGTTGTCACAGGATCTTCTGCAAAGCAAGCCCCCGGACCCCCCCCAGGGCCTCCGCCGAGTCGCCGACACATTTCGTTCCATCTACAATCTCAGGTAATTATCCCGGCAAAGCAACCTAACAGCCATGTGTAGGAGCATATCTGGAAGCATTCCCCTTAAGATTCGGATGAGAATCCGGTTGTAGAATTCTGCTGTTCTCGCAGTCGTTGTCGCATTCGCGAGGACAGTCGCAGTGGCAACGGCAGTCGCAGTCACAGCCTCAGCCTCAGCCTGCCTCAGCCTCAGCCTCCGCCTGCCTCAGCCTCAGCCTGCCTCAGCCTCAGCCTCAGCCTGCTTCAGCCTCAGCATCAGTCTGCCTTCAGCCTCGGCCTCAGCCTCAGCCTGCCTCAGCCTCAGCCTGCATCAGCCTCAGCCTCAGCCTCAGCCTGCCTCAGCATCAGCCTGCCTCAGCCTCAGCCTCAGCCTGCCTCTGCCTCAGCCTCAGCCTGCTTCAGCCTCAGCCTCAGTCTGCCGTCGGCCTCGGCCTCAGCCTCAGCCTGCCTCAGCCTCAGCCTGCATCAGCCTCAGCCTCAGCACGAAGCGACCCAGCTAGAAGGACAAAGCGCTGAATGTACACCGATGTGTTCGACGACTGCGTATGTAATGATGTGACGATATACAGACTGAGCCCTTCGTGAATGTCTACATGTTTTTCTGACGCCTACAAACGGCGCTGACGTGTGTGAGAAAATTGTCCGCGCAGCAAAAGCCGGCGAAGCGTGCGGGAGCTCGCATGCTGAGACAGACTACGTCTGCAGACCGCCAGCTGCAAAAGGTTGCGAGCGGCTCTTGGAAGATGTTTACGGAACGGAGCTACGGTGTCTGAAAACATTGGCATCGAAGGGAAGAGCCTCGGAGCCCTGCAACCTGAGAAACACCGCAGGAACTCGCATACTGAAAAGGAATGCATTGCAAACCGCACGCTGCGAACCCTGCAGGCTGAGAAGCACCGCAGGATGTCGCATGCTGAAAAGCACTTGTACTGCAGAGCGCTAGCATCTATCTCGGGCTCGGACCCCCCCGTCCTGATCCAGAACGTGCCCGGCCACGGCCTGAAAATGCCGTTCCAACTCCCGAGGATCAGCTGGCACTCCGGCTCTGGGACACTCCAGTACGTCTTGAGCACCTTGAGCCAGGCCCCATCTCGGGATCCCCACAGCACGCTGTACTTGACCGAGACCGTGCCGAACTCATAACAATTGACCTCCGAAGGACCTGCGAGTGCAGGCTGAGAAACACCACGCGATTGCAGGGCACGGCATTGCGTGTCACATGAGTGCAGGCTGAGAAGCACCACATCTCGTTTGCCAGAGATCACTCCCAGGTTATTTGATCCCGCAACACCAGCCACGGCGTAGCTGCCACAGGGGCCGCAGATAGCAACGGTTCGGTCACCCAATTGGCGTTCCGGTGAGTCACAATTCGCGCGTGGCTCCACGAGCCTGTGTAGCGCGATTTGCGGGGCACCAGTGTGCTGTAGGTGTTGTTGCCGTAGCAGAAGACGGCCTCTGGAGCCCAGTGCGGATTCCAGCGGACAGCGTAGACCCTGTGGACGCCATTGCGGATGACGTCGCGCGCACCTTCGATATGTGCCACCCATCGAAGCCAGTCAAATGCTGAGCCATCGGTGATGTCAACAGCACCTGGGGCAGTCTCGCCATGGTGGTAGTGCAACAGCGATTGGAGAGCGGCGCTGGCTTCGTCGCGGCCCACAATCTGGCGCGAGCAGGCTGCCTCTTGCAGGTGCTCCTGTGTGAAGAGCAGTGGGGCATCACCGCCAGTCTCGGCAGGCTGAGCAGCGCCACCGTCAGGCACGGCAGTCTGAGCAGCGCCGCCACGAGGAACATGAGGCTGAGCAGCGCCAGGCTCAGGCACGGCAGGCTGAGCAACGGCGCGTGGTGGACCGACATAGGTGGGCTCATCGGGTCGGCCGTTCTTATGGTAATGCAGGCGCATGGCT